GAAGAAAAAAAAAAGTTTGATGGGAAAGAGTCACACCTTTGTTTCAAACAGCCAAGGGCATAAGAAAAAAAAATACAAGTTTTGAAACATGATTTGTGTTGACTCCTAAACAGATGTCTGACTCTTGGCTTTAACTAGCCCCTTAAAGATCAGGATAGCTCTGCCTCCCTCTGGTCATCAACAGAGTGGTCCTTCAGTTTGGCAGCAGGAAGCCTTGGAGGGGTCACTTGACTGTGATGGCTCTGACCCCACAGCCTGTCTTGTTGGCATTGATGGAGCTTGCATATGGGAATGAATTTAATGCAGACCCAAATTTATTGTACAGATTCCTTAATTTTTGTTTTCAGAAGATAGCTTATTCAAATAGAAAGGTACACTGGCTTTTACATAGTCCTCCCTTTATCTTAATATGTGTAAAAGTTTGTGCAGGTTACGGAAAATAATGATTTTATTTTCTTTAAAATAACTAGTGCAAAATAAAACAGGTGTCAGTTGGTGAGTCAGTAGTACTTCTTTTTCATTTTCCAGGATATGGCATTTTGGGTCCTGGGGCAACACGGCAGTTAACATCAACCCTGTAGGACCTGATTTTGACAGTGAAGAGGAAAAAGTGATCAGTGCAGCTAAGATCATTGTTTCTCAAGTCAGCATTAGGGCTGCAGGAATGGCAATGGTGTTTCTAATGTTAACAGTCTAGTACCACTCTTTTCCTTGCCTCTCCCAATCTGATTTCGAAACACCTTGGAGTTCTACACAAATCCAGGTTACTGTAATAAAATTTACAACTTTAAAAATGTGTGGAACTCCTCTCTCATATGAAAAGTTTTGAGAACCATTGCCTTAAACGGGATTTAGTAACCTTGGATGTCATCCTAAGCTTCAGTGTTAACTGCTTTAAGAATCATTTGGGGCCTTAAAAAGGTACTAAGTAGAAAGAGACTCTTGGACTTGAGGCCTTTGGTTAAATATGTAGTCAGTTCTTGCTACAACACATGAAGTGGGTTCACGCTGTTCTCAAGCAGAGGTCTGTCAAAGTGGGTACTCTGGAGGCTGGATTGACCCTTTTGACTCTGTTGCTTGGGCAGGGATACAGATGTACAAGCAGCTGCAGCACATGCAGAAGGGGCAAGAATCTTTTGGGCCTCTTGGACAGACTGGGTCTTCGTCATTGTCCATTCAGTTTTACTCTTCTGGGTAAATGAAACCACAGCTCTATGGGAATTGTCATTTCCCCTCCCCAGAGCCAGGTTCAGGCAGTTCTCTCATTCTTGCATCTTCAGGCTCTTCTTCTTCATTGCTACTTCTCTGCTAGAAGCCTATTTGGTTTTCACATGTCTTTAAAAGAAAAAGAGAAACAGCCTTCCTTCAATGCAGCTATTACTCCAAGCTACTTTTTTTCCCCATTTCGTTTTCAACCTAATTCTAAAAACTAGTCTTTATATTTTCTTCACGTTCAACTCACTTTTGCACCCATAATCTGTGCAGAGATGATTTACCTAAACTCTCACTCTTCCAAGAAAACCATTCTCACTAGGGTCTTCATTGACATCCTTGTGGATAAATCAGGTGATTCTTTTATAGTCCTTTTCCTCCTGCTCAAATTCCTCTTCATAACAATACTGCCTCTCTAAAACCATGGATGTTTTTTATTAGTTTTTATTAGTGTTCCCAAAATATGGATGTTGGAGGCCTAGGTCAAATTCTGACTCTACTGTTTAGTAGTTATGTAACATTAGGTAAGTTGCAGCTCTTGCGTAAGTTTCCTCATTTATAAAAGAGAGGAAATAATACATCAGTAGGTTGTGAGGATGCCTGGCATTTAGTAAGTACTCAATAAGTATCAGCCATTGTCATTATCATCATCATCATTTGTATCACGTGTGCAACCGTGGCTTTGGAATAGTATCTGGCAAGGCTGTCCAGTGTCCTTTTGCATGCTCCCCGTGGTGAAAGGCCTGAGGAGCACTTTGCATTAACTCACACTGTTATGTAGCAGGCCCAGGACCTCTTGAGTCCTCTCAGCTGCAGTTCTTCCTGGCCCAGAGTTGGATCCAAACCACTGAAGAGATCTGTTTCTGCTCAGAAAGGCAGAATAAGAATTAGTGTCTTCTTATTTTTAAAAACTAGCAGGAAAAAAATTATTCAGATCCTTACTGGTTATCCAAAGACAAAAGTCGATCTTCGGACATGTTAGCATACCTTGTTCTATCTGCTCAGTCACACTCACATGGAAATTGCTGACTCAGCTAATTGATCCTGTTATAGAAACTGAAAGCCCAGGGCCATTCCATAGTCCATGCCATAAAGCCAGGGCTCTTGCTGGCTCATAGTACACTGTTCACATAGTATAAAGTCATAAAAGCAAGGAAGGGCCTGCCCACAGCTCAATCCTGTGGCTGGTCACATGATCTTATATGGTTTAGAATGCTGGGAGGAGGGAATTTTGGGTGAGTCTAGCATTTTCTGGCTCCAACCTTTTACTTCTTCCCTGGACTAGATATGTACATGTAAATTTTCAGGAATTCTGTATTTTGTGCTTTTAAGGTTTTTTTTGTTTTGTTTTTTTTGTTGGATTTTACCTCTTGTTGAATACTCTGGGGAGAGCGAAATTAAGTTAATTGAACCATTCTTTGAGACTTGCTGAGGAGTCAGGGGCACCGTGAGTGGCCTAGGGTTCTTTTGGAGGGAAGGGGAGATGTGCTATGCTTAGTGTTCTGAAGGCCTTGTGCTGAGTTTATACCAATCCAGCCTTCTTTGGGGACCTCTTGTTCTTAAGACATTCTGTGTCCTTCATTAAAAGTTATCACCCTGAACATTTGCAAGTGTTCCATCATTCATAGATTTTGCTTTTTTTTCCCCTTTTCCCATATTCAAATGAGTAGTTAAATAAGAGCTAATGTCGCTTCCTGGGAACTGTTAATTGAAAAAAATAGGCAAATGTGAAGAGAGCCTGCAATGTAAATATGCATAGCAATTAGATGGATCAGTGACGGAGTACATAGAATTTGGAGGGCTAGGTGGGGTCTGAGAGAAATTCTAGTCAGATAAAGAATTGCCATGGAGAGAAATACTTTGTTTGCCGTCACAGAGCCCATTAATGACAGAGGCTGGAGTGCACTGTCTCCTGGATTCCTAAGCTCTTCCTTGCCGCTCTGCCACCTATCCGACAGTACTACTTTTAATCCCATATCCAGCATCCAGGGAGGCAGGGTAATTAGTCCCTTCTAATTATGTGTCCTTTTTTTCCTCATTTAATCACCTAATAATTAGCCCTAATAAGAAGTCCCCTTTGGCAGAAATGGGAAACAGCCTCTGAACTAGGTACTTCAGAGGTACCTACTTGCTAGGTACTCATTCTTCCTACATCAGCTGACTTACTTAACTAGAGAAATACAACTGGCTTCGTCTCCATCCTTATGCCTTTGCCTGTGCTCTTCTCCTGGCCCAGAGGGACGCTTTTCTACAAATTCCACCTCAGTCTAACCCAGGGTTCACTATTTCAGGTGTGTGTGTACATGCATGTACGTGCACGTGCGTGCGTGCACACTCAAAGCCAAAGCCCTAATCAGGAGCTATCTTTCCTGTGGCCTTCCTAATCTGCTTAATTCCTAATCTGTACTACACAGGTTACAGTTATTGGTACTGCCCTGTGATTTGTCTGTGTACAGATACATTTATCTCAACTAGACAGTAAGTAAGCATCAGGGCAGAAGAAACCATGACTAATACATTTGGTTTCCCCACAGTACCTTGCACATAATTCACATCAGATAAAGATGGTCAAATACGAACAGTTTCCTTTTGAGGAAGTTGCCTTAAGGGTGCTATAAGAGGAAAGCAAGCCTGGAAGTTCTAGTACTTGTGAGGACTGCCCAGGCCTCACAAACTTCTCTGATACCCAGCCCAGCCTGAGGTCTATAAATTGAGATTGTCAGGATTTACTTACAAGTGGATTTAGTTTTGCTAGCTGAGTGTGAATGTTTTCTTTGCCCCTTTACCCCTGCTGTGTTCTGGTTACTTAGGACCCAGTGGGGTTGTAATATAAAATTGGTCAAGTTCTGCCCTACCCTGAGTAGCTTTGCTACTTCTCAGCACCCTGGTGGCATGAAGGCCACACTTCAACTACTGGACAGCCCTGCCCTTGGCTTCATTTCCCTTGGCTTTGTACCATCCTTCCAGTTCAGCCTGTTGGCTGAAGGGGATCTTTCAGGCAAGGGTGACCTCCAGGGACAGAGTAACCTGACATCCATTTTATTGGTTCATTAACTTACTCCTCTGACAGTACCTAGGCTACCGTGGCCGTGGTATAGGTGTGGCTGCTTCCTGAAATGGCCCAATCTCATGCCCTTCCTGTGTTGACATCAAGCTCTGACAGCCTTCACGACAGTCTTTTTAGCCCGAAGGTTGAAGTAGTGACACAGCAGCGTGGCTTAATTGGAAATAGTTAACAGTCTGAGGATTTGGCTGAAATCTAGGGCCTTGATGAAAAACTTCGTACCCACTCCCATCCTGAGCCAGCTCCAGCCGCGATCTTGCTCTTATCTTCCTGGCACGGCCACCTGTGGTCAGGCCCTGGCAGAGAATGAGTGGCATAAGCTCTCAGTTAAGTAGTATTTTCATGTTTTCAGACACAGCCAGGCTGCAGACTTGAAAGCAACATAAAGAACCAAAGGGGATGGGAGGAGTGAGTACAAGTTCAGGAGTTGACGGGCCTGAGTTTAAATCCAGGCTCTAGCTGGTGATTTTGAATAAGCCAGTCAACTCTGAGCCTCGGGTTCCTGTGGAGCTACTTCTGAGTGCTGGTGAGGTAAGCCATTTGAAGCACTTGGCACCTTGACTGGCACAAAGAAGACTCTCAGTAGCAATTACTTTGTTTCCTCAGCCTTGTCCCACCTCACCCTCCTGCTTCCCTGCCCCCATGCCGCTGTTGCAGAAACACACAGTTTCCTCACTGCTTGGACTAGGTCTTTATTTTGTTCCCTTTGCTTTTTCTCGTATTGCAACAGGCATCCCGGGCCCAAATCCTAGACAAAGCCACAGAGTATATCCAGTATATGCGAAGGAAAAACCACACACACCAGCAAGATATTGATGACCTCAAGCGGCAGAATGCCCTTCTGGAGCAGCAAGGTGAGCACCTGAGCCTGTGGGGCAGCTGGCCCTGCTGCGCTCTGGCCAGGTCAGGGCTTTGCACCTGGGCCTGCAGAACCAGGACCAGGAGTGTGTGCTCATAAGCGGCCGTGGCCCTGCTTCTGAGTCGCTGAGTGTTAGAGCCATCCTGAGGAAGTACCTGAGCCGCCAGTGAGGGAATAGTGGAGTCTAGGGTTTGACATCTGGAGACTTTTCTGAGCTGATCTCTCCCCCTCTTGGGGCTTAGGTGCTCTGCTGTAGTAGGAGGCACACCTGGCATCAGGTGTCTGAAAAGAGCTCAGGTCCTTGGATTGGAGTGTGCTGTGTAAGTACCAGAAATCCAGGTATTCAGGGTCAGTGAGCTCTCCCATTGCCAATGGTAGTCCAATCAGGGCAGCCTATGGGCCAGGCCCATGCTGTTCTCCAATGCTCACATCCGCCTTTTCCTACAACCACAGGGGAAAGCGAGAGCTGATCAAGTTCTTTGTTCCTGGGGAATTCACTTCTCTTCCTCCCTCATGGAAGATGCAAGTAAAAAGAAATGCAAGTAACCACTTGGGTTAGAACACCTCAAATAAAATAAAATAATATAAATGGGTTGACCTTGCAGGCTCAAGATGAGCTGAACTGAGGGATGGGCAGAGGGAGGCAGCAGCGGGTTGGTTCCCGGGCTGAGCAGCCTGCATGTAGGGGCTGTGTGTCAGAAGACCCAGGTATTCTGTGTATTGGTGACTTGCTTCCAAGTGTCCAGCTTGTCTTTCCAAGTGGATCTTGTACAAGAGAGCTAAGCCAAAACTTTTCTTTGGCTGATACATCTTATGTCATCCTTCCTGCTGTTGTGTGGCCTTCGCACCTTTATGGATCCTAGCATTGCCAGGCCAGCTTCTCCATGGTCACTGCACTGTTGGGTCCCACAGGGAGCTCCTGTCTCAACACTGGGCTTCTAAGGCAGGGCGGTGACATCACAAGCCTTCTCTTTAGGGTTGAGTGGCATTGCAGAGGAGCTGGCCATGTCCACTGGGCTCCAGGTCTGGCTGGGAAAGGAAGGAGATGAAGTGTGCTGGTGGAACAGCCACCAGAAGAGAGTTGTTTCTGAGCCTCAGGGCCCAGCAAGCCCTTCGGAAGAACAGGCTGGACCCTGACCTGAGACTCAGTTATTCTAGCTTCTCCTCTGTCTCAGAGGCTGTAACCCACTCGCTTGGTTGCTTTTCAGTCCGTGCACTGGAGAAAGCGAGGTCGAGTGCCCAACTGCAGACCAACTACCCTTCCTCAGACAACAGCCTCTACACCAACGCCAAGGGCAGCGCCATCTCTGCCTTCGATGGGGGCTCGGACTCCAGCTCAGAGTCGGAGCCTGAAGAGCCCCAAAGCAGGAAGAAACTCCGGATGGAGGCCAGCTAAGCTCTGCCGGGCAGGCCAGCAATAAAAACTGTCTGTCTCCTCCGTCGTCTCATCCTCCTTTCAGTTCATCCTTAGAACCCTCAGAACCATTTAAGAGACTCTATTTTTTTCCTTTCTCTTTTTTTTTAAATTTTATTTTTACATAGAAGCTCTTGGACAACAGCTCTCGTTCTCCTTCCCCACTTCCACTATTTTTTTTTTAATGTTTCCCTTCAGGGATTCCCTGTCCCCACCAGGAATTTTTAAACCAAAACACCCCAACTTGGCAGCTTTTTCTGTGGAGGACAGACGGCCGGCCGGACCTCTGAGCACATGGTGTCCTGACCACCCACCAGCTCCTCCAGCCCTGCCGGGCACAGGCCCGGAGGACTCCTACCCCTCCCAGGCCTCCCCGGGCCACCCTTGCCTCTGTTTGATAGACTTTGTGAATCTGTGGACTGCTCTACTTTAAGAAGATGACTGGTTTAAGAAGTGATGAGAATTAAAAAGCTATTTATCGCTCCTGTTGAAAGACCAGATCCTTGAAGAAGTTTGTGGTGTGAAAGGAAGTGGGGACAGAGTTGCAGCACAGTCTTGGGCCTGTTTCACTCCTGCTTCTCTCAGCCAGCCTTCGGGAGGGCCTCGGGACACTCGTGTGGTTTGGGGGGCGTCAGCAGTGAAGTGGCCGCCAGAGGGTGCTGGGGGTGGGGGGGCAAGGAGGGAGGAGCGGGTGGGGTAGAGGTTTTGTATTGAGGGCCAGTGATGATGTTTTGATATTTATTTCCTGCTACTGAAATTTGAATCTGAGTGAATTGTCCCTATTTCTGATGATGTCGGTATTGCAAAGCGACAGATTCATAAAGTAATGATCAAATCTTCCTTTCTTTCCGTGTGTATTTCTAAGAAATAGAGCCAACTGATTTTGTATGTAAATACCAAGAGCAATTTACCTGGTACTAAACCCGCACCCCAGTGCGGCCCCTTCCCACCCTTGCCCCACGTCCTTTCCGACTGTTCTGGAACCTGTCCCCACGGTGACCCAGCCCTGGTTCTGGCTGCGGTCAGCAGCTCCCAGTGAAGGGTTTTGTGTGTTTAGGCCTCATTTCTTTGTCTTTTTCCTACTCCGTTCCTGGCATTTGCTGATTTCTAGTGTATACTCTGTAGTCTCAGTCCGTGTTTGATTCCATTCCATGGAAATAAAAAGTATGTTGTACATACTGCCGAAGAATTGTCTTGCAAGTTAAGGCTTCCCCCTTTACTATAAGACTATAAATAAAAACTTATTTTATCCTTCTTGGTGGTGGTGTCTTCTTGCCCTTGCAAAGGCCAAGATGCTTAAGAGAAGAGCCCTGTGGAGGCCACTAGGCCTGAGAGAGGAGCAGAGGTCACTTACGTGGCCTTGCAAAACTGAGAGCAACCATAAGCCAGAGCAGTTCCCTTTTCATTCTAAAGGCTCAGCTTAGCCCAGGCAGGGCAGGGGGTGGATAAACTGGTGGTGGTGACTTTGCTCATTGGATAGAAGCTTTTATTATTATTTTAAAAATATTTTTATTGATTTCAGAGGGAGAGAGAGAGAAACATCAATGATGAGAGAGAATCATGGATCGGCTGCCTCCTGCATGCCCCCCACTGGGGACTGAGCCCACAATCTGGGCATGTGCCCTGACCAGGAATCCAACAGTGACTTCCTGGTTCATAGGTTGACGCTCAACCACTGAGCCACACCCGGCTGGGCAGATAGAAGCTTTTAAAGTTCCAACGGGGATGGGGTTATTCAGGGCAGCATTTCTAGACCCAGTTCCTGCTAAATAAATGACCCTTAGGGAGTTGGTAGCCGAGCTGTGGGTTTGGGTTTCTCCTGGTAATGAATGCCCACTTCAGAGGTGACCCATGTACTCTAGGATCTGTCAGTTTCTAGCAGTTCCAACATAGTTAGAGGAAGCAGCAGAGCTGGCAAGGGCTGGAAGTAAAGGAGGCTTCAACAGCATCAAGTGAGGGACCAACACCAGCCCGAACTTGTTTGACCTTGAAGGGAAGAGGGTTTCTGGCCAGGACACAGCTCAGCTTTGGTTTTCCTGTCTAGCTGGCAGGAAATATTGCTGTACCTAGACCAGGAGAGTGAAGTCAAATCAGTTCTTTGCTTTGTCACTTTTCAGAATGGTAGTGCTGGACCCCTGTCGGTGGGATTTCAGATCCACAGTATCTCTTTTTGGTTAATGGGAGTTACAGGTGGGTCGTGATTCTACAAGAGGCAGATTGTAACATGATCAAACTCCCTCCCCCCAACCACGATTGCAATAGGGGAAGCAAGGATGTTGGGAGCACAATCCCATTTATTAAAGGCACTCCATTTCAAGACAAATGAAAGGAATAAGACAAATTGGAATGAGAAGTCAGATGATTTCTTAATCCCTCCAAGTTAGCATGCTTTTCTCCTCTTTTTCATTGCTTTTTACTATATCTCTTTGCATGTCTGGCCATAATTATAAACTCCACATCGCACACAGCTGACTTGGTCAGTGTAGGCATTAGAACCGACTGCAGTTTCTAAGCTGGGGATGAGATGCAAGGAGTGTGAAGCTGGGCGCCCGGTAGTCAGGGAGCCAGCACAGGGATAGGCAGTGTCCCTGAGAGCAAGCTCCTGGCTCCAGCATATTGGCTGGACAAGGGGTTACATTTTCGGCTTCTCAAAATTTCAAAAAACCTGTTGGAAGAAGAGCCACAACGGGTAGCTGACTCACCTGGAAAATCGGAAGCCCTTGACTGACTTGCTGAGCAGACTGGCAAGTGGTGGAGAAAGGTGGTACCACTGGGAGCAGCTGCCTGGAAAGAAACAAGGTAAGAAACCCGAGCTAGAGATTGTGCTTTCTAAAGGGGACTAGTGAAAGTCACAGCCATGCTCCTGGTGTGTGTGTCCAGGGAACCAGTGTCTGTCTACCCACCAGGACAGCGACGTCTGACCGTGGTTTACTCTCTGACAGCAGTGTTATTCTCTGGTTTGTTCTCGCTATTGCGCTCTGGACAGTCCCATGCAATGCCAGAGAACCTGGTGACTCCCTGGGTAACTGCAGCAGGTGGTGTCACTGAGGGTCCTGTTAAAAGCCCTTTTTCTTAGGGTGAACTTGATGTTTTCCTATTTTTACAATTAATTGCCCCAAGTAAAAGGGTATTTTAAATGGCTCAGCTTTAAAAAAAAAAAAAAAAGCAAAAGAGAGAACTCATGGACATGAACAACAGTGTCATGTTAGTGAGTGGGGGAGGGGAGGGGAGGGTGGTGGAGTAAGAGGACATAAAGGGGCTAAATGGTGGTGGAAAAAATAAAATAAATGGCCCAGCTTTTTAAATTCTTGACATGCTTATCCCATATGTAGAGGAGCTACAACTTCTGCAAAGAATTCCCTCAGCTCACAGAGCTGTCCTGGCTGGAAAGGTTTAAAGCACAAGACTGAATAGATGCTAGAATAGTGTTTGGTGATGGCCTGAAGTCAGACTGCCTGAGTTCAAAGTCCCAGCTCTGTCCATGGTGGGGGGATCTCAGGCAGGTCACTTCTCTCGGTCTCAGTGTCCTCGTCGGGAAAATGAGGATAACAATAGTACTAACCTCGTAAAGTGGTTGTGAAATATGCTTATCATGTGCTTGACCTTGGGACCAAGTGAGCACTCAGGTAGGCGCCAGCTGTCGTTACCGACACACAGCGTGTGACCAGGGCTGAATCTGCAGGATGGAAAAATCCAGCTCCCGCAGCCCTCTCTGCAGAGTGGGAGGGTGGGCTTCCTGGTGTCTCGCAAATGCTTCCCGACCCTCAGACGTGCCCTGTTCTTACAAGGCAGAGAGAATCAAGAGACAGCAAGGGAACCCCACGACTGGACTGATGCACTCTTCAAAACCAAAGAGGCCCCATAGCTGCCTGGGTCAGATCTGGTGTCAGCCCAAGCGAGGTTGTGCCATGCCCTCCTCCCGCCATTCAGTGGTGTCTCTGAACTTGTGCTATTGGACAGTCTGCCCAGGAAGAATCACTCAGAAACCCCCACGGTGTTGATACTCAAGTGGGGCCCTGGGCCATGCCCAGGGGTGCTTGTTGAAAGGAGTCCTGGGCCCCCGCTCCCCTGACCTAAAGCATACTGTGGCCCACCACCCAGGCTGAGTTGAAGAAGCTCTGACTCCCAACAGTAAAATAGCCCAGGGAACAAAAGGAAGCTGTTGGGGAAAGTGAGGTACGGAAGGCTGAATTAGCAAAGTGTGGCTGAGGCCAGGCTCTCTAAGGCTGCACTTGGACAAAGGTGAGGGATGGGAGGGGGCTTGGGAAAATAGTCCATTTGAGGGTGTTTGACAGTGTTTCCTTCCCCCAGGGGGGCTCGAACACTCAACTGGCCAACAGCCGCCCAGCCTGCTTTTGAAGCCCACTGCTCCCAGGAGAGGGTGACATCATGGGGCAACACCCGTTTTTATGCCATGCACTGGCTGTTCTCCGGTCACCAGGCAGGTTTATAAGCCAGCCAGAGCGAGGCTTTCTCTCAAGCTCTTTCCCAGGCTCCATCCTGGACAGTCTCCGGGAATGTGAAACCAGAGCCTTTTTTTTGTTCAAATCTGTTTCTCTGGCCTGTGGAGGAAACCCAGGTAGGGAATCGTTTCCCAGCCTCCACACTGGAGGCGCAGTGGGACACTAGGGAAGAACAGGACCCTTCTGAGGCACTGCTAGGTCGTCCCTGGGCAAAGGCAGAACGTCCTTTAGAGTCTGGGGTTTACTAAGCCCCAGACTTTCCCAGACTATAGACAACAATGCATAGTTTCGCCCTAACCGGTTTGGCTCAGTGTATAGAGCGTCGGTCTGCGGACTGAAAGGTCCCAGGTTCGATTCCGGTCAAGGGCATGTACCTTGGTTGTGGGCACATCCCCAGTAGGGGGTGTGCAGGAGGCAGCTGATTGATGTTTCTCTCTCATCGATGTTTCTAACTATCCCCCTCCCTTCTTCTCTGTAAAAAATCAATAAAATATATATTTTTTAAAATGCATAGTTTCTAGTTAATTCCTCAGGTAGAAAATCAAATTGGCCAAATACCCCATCCCTGGACCAGTGTGAAGAAGCAGGCTTGCCTGAGTGCAGGGCTGAGTGATGACATCAGTTAGGCCCCACGTGTTTTGGAAGCTCTCCATCAAGCCGCCATCACCCACTGTGTCAGTGTCATTGCTTCTCAGGGTCAGGGTGGGGCCAGGAGCTTCAGAACCAGTGCCAGGTGGTTAGGTCACAGCCTCTGAGCCCACCTGTCTGAATTGGCTCTAAGTGGCACTGCCCTGGTTTCCTGAAGCACAACATGAGGACAACAGCAGCACAAAGGCGTAAGGCGTGTGAAAGCCCTTGACCCATGCCTGGCCCTTAATAAGTACTCAAATATTAACAATTCTTAGGTCTGTGTGCCGTCATAGGTCCCGGGCAGTGAGCCCTTTCTGTGTGAGTTATGTTGAAATATGGAGTGAATAAATCCCATCCTTCAGTGCATTAGAGCCCTTAAAGGGGAAGTAAATGCATGTTGAATACCAAAGGCTGGTAACCAAAAGGCTCTGCTTGGTTTCTGAAGGAACTCATGAAAGACCTTGAATCTGAAAAAAATCTGGACTTGGGAAATGAAATTTACCCTTGCTGGCCGGATCAGAACTATTGCTTTGTACTGCTCTCCTCCTGGTTTCAGGTCTTGTTCTGCAGTGCCTGGTGGTCTGCACCATGGTAGGCACAGGCACTGCACGCCCATCTTGTGCCTGCCCAGTGGTTCCCACCAGGGCCTGGTTAAGACAGGGTTGAACCCTGGTTACTCAGACTTTCCGGGGTGAGGCGGGGACAGACTACCCTGTTGGCTCTGTACGGTCTGACGAGTGGTCCACTCCAGCTCACCCTGACTGATGTGTGTGCCCTGTGACACCCAGTAAGATGGGCGTGTCTAGAAGAGAACCAAACAGGTGGCCCTGGACAATTCACAACCAGCCAAGCAGGTTCCCTCCTGCATCCAGTGCTGGGTGCCAGCTGCACCAGCAGGCCTGTGCTGACTGCCAGGCCCCATTTAGGATTGTTTTCCTCTGCTGTCCTTTGCAGGGGTGGGGCCCTCGGACACCCACAGCCTTCTCTGGGCAAAATTATCCAGCCACAGTCTCTGCTATTAATTTTAAACGACAGAGGAATCAAGGATCCACTGTTAAATTGGTGCCAGAACCTTCCACTCCAGTGCTGAGCATGGTGACGGTTTGAGCCTCCTGCCATGAAAAACAGAAACCTGGTGGCTCCCATGGCAGGCCTGTAAGG